GAGGGAATGGCGGTGCAGGCAGACTGCAGGGACCTCGGGGCTTCTGGCGCTGCCTCCGAGAGCCCCGGGGTCCCTGGAGCACACGCTGAGAACTGCTGCCCTGGGGAAATGATCCCACATCCCCCTAAAGGAAAGGGGTGCTGGAGACTTTTTATGATCTTCCTGGTTAAACAGCCTCTGTGTATACCACCGTCCCTAACTTGAACCCTCCGCCTCCTCTCAGGCCCCTCCTCAGTCCCAACCCATTCACCTGGACACACAGCTGCCGGTACCCCCAGTGTCCAGCTGCGTTCAGACCGAGGGTTAGACATGATGCCACGTCTCCCTGCCCGTGCTGATCTGGAGGAATGATGGTTTGAATTAGCGCATGATAGACAGTGTTTTCCACAATCTCAGCTCCTCAGGGCACAACCGAGCCAAGGATGTGTGTGGAGCCTAAGATCAGTTTTTGTGACACCTTGTAATCGTTTGTCATTTCCGTGTGAACTTAGTGACACAGAGCTCGGCTAAGTTAGTGAAATGAGGTTGACCTTGATCGAGGGGCACCCACAGTCATGTAGGGAAATGGTCACGAATGAGCGTTCGATTGAGACTTGACCCCAGCATTCATGGACCCAATGACTTTATTTTGGTGGTGGAAGGTGGGGCCAGCAGGGTGTCATGGGAATCTCACTGAGCCTTTGCTATTTGGGGCAGCTCACTGAACCAGACAGGAACAAACTGGCCCGCCCTCCCTCCAGGCTGTAGCCAGAGAAAGGATGTGAGCCCCATGGATAACGTGCAGGGTGACGTCACAGCTGGCTTTTCAGTGAGGGTTGGACTCACCGTGGCTGACTCATGGAGCGTCATGCTTATGATTCTAACCCTTTCTATAACTCGAGGAGTGTTCATAATGGACACACCATCACATTTTCCCTGGAGGAGAGCGATGACGGAGGGGTGTGCTTGCGGAAGAGGCGGGGGACAGCCTGTAGATGAGCAGGTTTATCTGTGAGAAGTTAATTGCCAGTTCCTTCTTTGAAGGGAGCTAGTCTAAAATCGTCCGGCCAGGTGGGTAGGGGCTGAGTCCTGCTGAAGGGTTAACTAGAACCGGCTGAGCAGGGCCAGCCGCCGGGTGAAACTGCCAATGATGGAGAGCCCGCCAGGCGCGGGCTTTGGGCTGGAGTCTGAAAGCCTGGCACTCACTCCTGAAGATGAATGGCCTGGCCCCGTGCCGACTGGGGATGGGCATCTCTTACCTCCACTGCTACAGTGTAGGCTCAGAGGGGGTTGGGCGTGCCTCCCGTGGTCCTGAGAGCCAGCAGGTGACCGTGTCTGATGGCACTAGCTTAGGGAGACGGGCAGAGCAAGTGTTACACGCGCACCGGTAGGGAAAACGTAACCGAAAATGGGCGAGAGGAAGGAAGGTAAACGAATGTTCAGTTTTGATGTTAAAATATCATCATTTTATGCTATTGCTTCAGAAATATTTAGAGAGATTTTATAGTTTGGGGTTTTTTTGTGTGACTTGATCATTTAGTAGAGTAAATATCTATAAAATCCCAATTAAATGGTGTCTAAATTTAAAGCAGCAGTCTACAGGCAAAGCGCCATTTCTTTTTTAAAAATATATTTATGATAACATCTAGCATTTAAAAATCAACCAGAAACTAGGCTTGATTCTGTTTAATATTTTATATGATTGGACATCTTAAGTCAATAATGTTTCTATTTTATAGCAATTCTGTGTTTATTCAAAACCATAATTCTACTGTGATGTTAATGGAATGACTTTATATGGCTTTAATTGTGTTGGTTTAAGTGCTATGACCACCTTTCAAATTAAAATAATATTTTGGCTGAAAGAGGTAGACACAGATATGAAATACGGAAGAATACACAATTTTACTGGCTGTAAAGTGTTTATTTCAAGAAAAAAATGTTCTTTTTTTTTTAGAGCTGTAAAAAAAATATTTTTTTCAAGGATTTAAGATAGTTTTCTGAACTTGGGGGGATTGGAATTTGTGCCTATGGAATTTTTGGAGCAGCCTAAGCTAACTTTTAGCTCGATCTGTGTGCTAGAAAAAATTCATTATCCTGTTTTGTGATATGTAATAAATTCAGGGTGCTGTGCTTCAGCTTCGTTTTAGTTCGAGTTTGGTAACATCTCTTTCCCTCATTCCCAGCCCTGGCAGACACCCTGCCTGGCCTTCCCCGGGTCCCCCTTGAAAGAGTCAAGTCAGTCCCCGACTCTTAGAAGGCGTGTTTCTTGCCGCGTGGAGCAAGCCAAATGTAACCGTGACTTCTAAGCCTCTGCTTTCCTGTCTGGGAAGAGGGATGCCTTCTCTCCTCCTCTGATGTCTCTTTAATAAACATGTTGTCATTACTTGTCTTTGGGAACGGCCTCTTGGGCCGCCTCTCGATTTCCTCCATGATTTATGTTGCAAACAAATGCTCTGTCCTGTGTCTGTTCACTCTGGTGTATCATTGACGACGTGCTGGAGACAGTTTTTGTTTTTATTATGCAATTGTGTTATATGTGTATTTCAGTGAAATGTCAACCCGTCAACAGAGGATGATGTTAAAAATTATCCAAATAAATAGTTTTCTATTCCTTTTCTAGACCTAGTGCAATCAGTTGGATGACAGTGATCAGGGTTATTTGTTGTTATTTAAGCTCCGTGTTCCTGGCCCACGCTGCCTTGTAACAGGGATTAATATACATCATTTAACTGGGGGTGTTGACATGGTGCATTGTCACCTCTGGTTTTTTTTTTGTGGGGGCAGCAGCAGGTGTCTCAAGCCTGGTCTCTCCTTGTCTGGGAGCCTCAGATACGCAACAGCCCTTTCTCCCCATGATCCAGAATCAGCCTTGAAGCCTGGCTTAGCTTCTCTTCCCTTGGTAACTGTGCCCTAGAAAATGCTGACTGAATGAGCCACAGGCTGTTCAATACGACTGGGCTCCACCTTCCCGCACATGCCTGCAGCCCTGCTGCGTAAGTGCTTGCACCCTTGCCATAGACTTGCCCTCTTGATGTTTCCATGAGAATGGCAAGTGGGTCCCCCTCCAAGCCCAATGACCCCCTGGGCTCAGACGCGCTGGACTTGGGATCCCAAGAGAGGGAAAGTGTGTGTGTACATGTGTGTATGCATGTGTGTGAGTACATATGTGAATAAGTGTGCGTGTACATGTGTGATTACATGTGTCTACACGTGTGCCTGTGTGTGCATGTGAGTGCGTGCACATGTGTGTGCATGTGCATCTTGTGCCTGTGATCAGAGGGACAGGAAAGGAAGTGGCGACCTCATTGACACACCACGAACTGTTCCGGGTTTGGCTCTGGGACGTGTGCGGCTTTCCCCTGCGAGACCATGGCATTCCTAGCTAGGAACCCGAAAGCTTTGGCGCTGGTGGCTCTCTCACCCCCACAATTCACGAAATGGAAAGACCATCTGGTCCTCTCTTAAAAGCCTGGTTCAAAACAGACCCAGGCTCATCTTCCTAGGCAGGTGCTACTATGGAGGGCGCCATTTTCAAAAAGAACCTGTTGGGAAGTTTTCGTACAACTTTATAGTCTAAATTAACACCAGCACCAGTGGTGTCTGCAAAGACCAATCAGAATTCCCACACCAGTGGGCCCAGCCCTGCTGGACCTACCCTCTGTCCCCTCCTCCAGCCCCTCCCCCGCCTGGCCACTGCTGGGCCGTCTCAGGTATGGTCATCAGGCTCCGTCTGTGTCCTGTGCCCACCGCTGCTGGGCGTTGTGGAGGAAGGACAGGGACGAGGTCCCCCTGACAACCCACACTTGGTCCGTCCTGCCATGGGTGTGTTAGCTGCAGGTGGAGCCCTGCACAGCCAGCCTTCAGTGGCTGCTTGGTTTGCAGGCTGGCTGGCAGCAAATGAGGGTGCTGCCCCGATACACAGGAGCAGCCTTAGACCTGGGGCAGGGAGGAAGTGCCTCTTTCAGATGTAAGTCTTTTTGTGGAAAAGGGTAAATCTGCTATCGTGTGCCTATTCGTCTTTGAGTCAGCATGCTACTTTTCCTCAAATGGATGGTCAAAACATCATCGTTTTCTCAGAGCCAGTGACTGTACCTTCCCCATATCTGGTCCATAAGCATCCCAAATGTTTCCCTACAGAAGTTGGGAACAACAGGAAGGCTTCTCCCAGGCCCTGTCCCAATGCGGCCCGGGTCCCAGGATAAGGAAGGCCAGTGTGAGGCCTCAGGGAAGGCAGAGTGTCTGTGAGGGGCCTGGGCATCAGCGGTGGGGCCGGCACGGCCTCCGAGGCTGGTGAGCCCGTGTCCGTGTGTCGTGGTCTTCAAGAGGACGCCCGACAGTTGGTGTGGTCTCAGCCCGAGCATAGGCTGCGGCCAGGGTCCAACGATGGCCCCAGAGGCGGCACTGCACAGCGGCCCAGGTCTGTGTGCATGCCAGTCGTTCTGTCACGTCCTGAGTGTGCTGGTGGTTGCCGTGTGTTGTGTCCCTCCCTCGCTCCCATGCTTTTTAGCAGAACCAGTGGCCCTGGCGGCTGCTGGGCTGCTTGCCGTCCGGCACTTGCACCTAGGCTTCCTCATCCTGGACACCGCCAGCCAGCCCTCGCCCTCTCCCTGCCCAGCAGCCAGGCTGGGCGCCCTGCCCTGCCTGGGGCCTGGGAGATGGCGCTCTGCAGGATATCCTTCCGCAGACTGTCGCTTAGACCTGGGCATGGGCTCTTGGCCATGACAGACCTAGCACTAGTGACCAGGCGCTGTGCCCTGCAAATGGGAGGGGGGCATTTGAAAGGAGTTTCCCAAGTTGGGCCTTGAGCATCCCAGGCTCGACCATCTAGAAGCCCTGACCACACCCTACAACCCTGAGGCTGCAGGGACTCCCGTGACGTGCAGACAGCGGTCAGTTTCCCGGGCTGTCCTGTGGAGACGCTTCCCTCCCACAGCTGAATCGGCAGGAGCAGCACCCGGACCCAGGCCGGGCCAGGGCTCCCGCGCTGTCTGATCTGTTTGCCGTTCTCCTTGATCTAGGCGGGGTTAAGGACACTGCACGACATCGGGCCAGAGATCCGGCGGGCTATATCGTGTGATCTGCAAGATGATGAGCCCGAGGAAACGAAAGGAGAAGAAGAAGATGTAGTCAAAGTAATTATTCCGTGTACAGCTACGCACCGGCCGCCTGGAAATAGTGGGGCAGGGCTCCAGTTGGGGCAGTTAATGAGCCACAGCAGTGCCCGGAGAATGCAAGTCAGCCCCGGGGCGTAGGGGGCTTTCAGACCATGCCCTCCCCCCAGCAGCCCTCCCCACTCACCAGCACCTCCTCTAGGGCCAGGCCTGCCTCTCCAAGCTCACTCCTCTGCCCCGCGCTGGCAGCTCCGAGGGGCTTGGCCACAGCCACTGGCTGGAATGGATGAGCATCTGGGTGCTTCCGGCAGCTGCCTGCCCACACGGCCCCCTTCTTCTCCGGGCCAGTTCTTTGAGCTGCCAGGGGCCCTCAGCCTCCCAGTCCCCCAATCCCCAGCCCAGGGAGCATGCCTACCACCCAACCTCACTCGCTGGGGCTGCCAGCCAGCCCTGCTTGGTATAAGTCACCTCAACTTGGAGCAACTGGAAGCGCACACGGGAGTGACAGCCGAGAGCTTGCTCCTCGGCTCAGGAATTGGTAACCTTCCTCGTTTCAGGGGGACCAGCCCCCACGCAGACACATTGAGGCCCTCAGGTCGTTCTCCAGGGATCCTCCGGAGCTTACCTAGAATTTGTGTTTCATGTAGAAAAAAATGACCTAACGTAGCTAGCCTGCATCAAATGCTTGTTAAATTACCTGGTGTGTTCTCCCATTATTTTGCAGAGAAATGGTGCCCTGCTTGGAAACCATGTCAATCATGTTAATAGTGATAGGAGGGATTCCCTTCAGCAGACCAATACCACCCACCGTCCCCTGCATGTCCAAAGGCCTTCAGTTCCACCTGCAAGTGATACTGAGAAACCGCTGTTTCCTCCAGCAGGAAATTCGGTGTGTCATAACCATCATAACCATAATTCCATAGGAAAGCAAGTTCCCAGCTCAACCAATGCCAATCTCAATAATGCCAATATGTCCAAAGCTGCCCCCGGAAAGCAGCCCAGCATTGGGAGCCTTGAGCATGTGTCTGAAAATGGGCATGATTCCTCCCACAAGCATGACCATGAGCCTCAAGGAAGGTCCAGTCGGAAAAGGTAACCTTTACAATGTGTTGGCACGTGATGATGTTGTGTCTGGCCCCACCCCCGTGCGCTGGCACAGGCAGGAGACCCCCAGTGGACATGGGCAATGGAACCTGTGAGTGTCACATGGTCACGGCCTCTCCGGGGCCTCGCTGCAGGATGGCCCTGCAGGACAGCAGGCCCCGGCCATCCTGTGTCCTGCTGAGTGACACGCTCCTTAAAATGGCAGCAGGCGCAAACTCCGCCCTCCCCAGTTGTGCCAGCAGACTTGGGGGCGGGCTGGCAGACCCTTCCTGGGAAGGGCTAGACGGCAGGTGTGTCATACTCTGAGCACCTTGCAATCCATTGGGTGACTCAGCTCCGCGGCTGTGGTGAGGAAGCAGCCACGACGGTGTGATAAACTTGTTTTATTTTGGACACTGAAATGTGAACATCGTAGAGTCACAGGTGAAGAAATATTTTTCTTCCGTTGATGGTTTTCAGTCGTTTAGAAATATAAAAACCACCCCTAGGTCATGGCCATCCAGAACAGGCGGCAGCCGGGTTTGCCCCGTGACCCACAGTTTGCCAGCCCCGCTCTAGGTAGTAGCCTGGTAACTGCATTTTAAATTCTGTTGGAAATATTTAACGTTTATCTTCTCCCTTCCTCCTCCCCTCCCTCCCTTGTTATGCTTTTCCTGGATAGAGCCCGCTATTATGAAACTTACATTAGGTATGTGCCCCCTGCCTGTGTTTATGTGTGAAATACTGTGTGTTATAAGTGTGACCAGTTGGCCTCTCTGAATGCGGAGAGATGAGAAGTTCCTGCAATATTATAGCTCAGGGCTGTGCACTCAGGAGTCGGGGGATGGGGGGAGTGGCTTCTTTCTGCCACATACCAGGGGTGGGGAACGTCCGGCCCGAGGGCCATATAAGGCCTGTGAAATGATTTGGTCTGGCCCTGCCAAGGCATTAGGGGTGAGTTTATTAAATATTTGACCAAATAGAGCAGGCTAATTTTTAAGTTGATAATTCTGTATGGCCCATGAATGATGTTATAAATATCCAAATGGCCCTCGGCAGAAAAAAGGTTCCCAGCCCTGGGACCATTACCACCCAAGGACTGGCATTCACATGCCAGGTGCCCACAGACCAAACCCTGAAGACCTTGGGGTCGGCACAGGGAGAGCCGCTGTGCACCGGTGCCCGGGCCTGTGACGTGGGCAATGGCTGCTGCTTTCTGGGGTCAAGCCTCCGGTGGGGTGTTGGTGAAAGCATGACCCGGCCTCCTAGAGACCAGGGGCCAGGTTTGCTCCTTTGCCTCCCACGCAGCCCTCAACACGTGCAGTGTCACATGCTCCATGTCCGCTGAGCGGGTGGGAGGCGGGTGAGAGTGGGTGGGATGGTGGTTTTGCTGGTGATGGGAGGGTAGGTCTGCTGGTTTAACAAGTGGGATCTTGGGCCCGAGGCCAGGGAGAGGGTACAGCACACAGCACTCAGAGGGAGCACAGGCCTCTCCCCGGGGGGAGCACTGGCCTCTCCCTGGAGGGAAGCCGTGTCACGGCGCGGCTGGTTTACTGAGGACCCAGGCCCGCAAGGCTAGGCTTCAGGGAAGCATGAGGACAGCTTGGGGCAGCGGGCAGGCTTGGAAAACTTGGCAGACATCATGCATGAGAATCTCCCCTGGGACACTGTATCCAGAACTCCCGTCACCTGTGTGGGTCGGATGCAGCAGGAAGTGGGTGGCCAGGGAGTCTCTTTGTCCCAGGCTCTGAAGTCGCACGGGGCCCAGGTAGGAAGGAGCGGGGATCAGATAGAATGGCCTGGGAGCCGTCTTTTCCCTGGGACTGCTGGTCTCGAGGGCCATTTTCTTGCTCTGTTCCCCAAATTAGATCTACTCCTTGGCCCCAAGGCCCCTAGTCATCGTGGTCTGGCACCAGCGTTATGCAAGGTACTGAGAGAGAAACTTCTCCTGGTGCATGTACACACACACACGCACACCACACACACACACACACACACACACACACACACGCTGCGCTGTTGCCAGTGGCCTTAGCCCAGTCCTGGTTGAGGCAGGTGTGCCCAGGGAGAAGCCAGGTGCGCGTGGGCAGGATGCTGGCTGCACATGGAGGCACAGCTGCAGGGCGTGGCTGCCACCTGCCCAGGTGCTGAAGTCCTCTCTCCCAAACGCAGGTCCGACTCAGGAGATGAGCAGTTCCCCACTATTTGCCGGGAAGACCCAGAGGTCCAGGGCTACTTCAGGGACCCCCGCTGCTTGGGGGAGCCCGAGTACTTCAGCGGTGAGGAGGACTACGAGGAGGACAGCTCACCCACCTCCAGCAGGTGAGGGCTCGGGGCTCGGCCGACGTCAGAAGGCCTGGCTGCTGCCTGTCCTTGGTGCTCTGCCTGTTCCTGACGCCCTGGGCCACCTGCAGCTGCACAGGACCACAGGCTCCAGGCCAGGGGAAAAGCTGAGCAGGGGAAACAGGGCCAGAGGGAGGCCGAGTGGAGGCCGTCCTCCCGGGCTGTGACCATTTCCCCCAGGACCTGTGGGCCCTTCAGCGAAGGTCCAGACATGAGAGCTGGGCCTGGCGTGCAGGGTCAGCCTTCATCCGTTCCTTGTCTGCTGAGAGGCCTGTTACTTCGTGAGCGCCGCCCACGCTGAGCCAGGGCTCTGTCTGCCGGGCAGCTCTGCCAGCCCATCGCTTGGGGCCGGGGAGGGAGGGTGGGTCATAATGAACAGCACCTGTTCCCCACTCTCATCCAGGGGTCGCTCAGCAGAGCTGCCTCTCCGGGCTTCTGTCCTAAAGGAAGAATGTCTGAGGTTAAAGGGGACACTTGCTTTAGGACACATCGTGGGCAGCACAGGGGGACAAGGCCACCTGCCATCCTCTTCTCTGTAAATTGCATCTCACCAGCACCAGGGGCCCACTGAGTGGACATGGTACTGCCTGAGGTCCCTTCTGGTGTCGGAGCTGTTCTGTTAGCCTTGTACCCCAGCAGCCATGGCCGGGCCCTCGCG